GGAGGGGGGGCTGCATGTGTAGTTTTCGCTAAAAAAATTCACTCCTGATAAACTGGATGGGAGAAACAGAATCAGGCTGTCATCTTTCATGTTTGTGTGAATGCTGCTTGTGTTTAGGTGGGTGCCAGTAGAAACACTTCTTTCTAATCAGTATTAGTCTGCACAGTCCCCCATGTGTGATATATCTGCATGTGTGTGTATTGAGAATATATGTTCAGCCTCACTACTGGCTGGACCTACAAATGGGAACAGCAGCAGCATACTGTATCTATTGAACCAGGACAGGAGGAAACCCCTGGGTCTCTTAGACCACAGGATCAGGTTCGTGAATGAAAATATGCGTGTGTGAAAGCTCCAGAAGAAAAGACAAAAAACAGGTATAGAAGAATGGCATGGGTTGATAGCATAGATTGGCAGGGCATAAAGATCCCAGCACATGCACATAAAGCTTCTCAGGACATCCAGGTTAGAAAAAAAGGAACAACTTAAGACAAAAGCACAACCTACTTCCAGGAAAGGAGACAAAAGGCTGAGAGTAGACTGCATTATTGCCTAATGACTCACAGAGGTGGGTCAGGAAGGAAAGATGAAAGATCACATTCATTCTCAACTTCCAAAGGTCACTATTGTCACCAATCAAGAAGAACCCAGGAGATATTGTAAGACCTCAATAAGCAGCACCCCTTATCTTCTGTGACCCCACAGTAAATCCTGGACAGTCTATGTGGACGCATGCATCTCAGTGCTAAGAAGTATGTGGGTATAAAAAAAAAAGAAGTTTTTCCCCCTTTATATGGTCTTGTCTCGAGCTTTCCTGCTATTTCTACATAGTTTAAAATAAAAAAGGTTATTCATCCCCACTGTTACCAAAGACAATATTACTCGTCTGATAGTTCTGACTCCTTCCAGCTGTTGATTACAAACAAAATGACTATTTATGTACTGAAATTAGAGGTGTTATCAAGAGCAACAGAAAGAAGAAATTAGCCAAAACCCATTTTTACTACAAAGGCATAAAAATCCAATGCATTTTTAAGGTAGAGATTTCATGTCAGTCAGAAAAGTCAGGTGATGTTAACGTATTCTCCTTGAATAAGTATAACCTCTGTGCTGATCACAGCTATTAAACAAACAAATTTATTCATTCAGTTCCCAAAAAACACTGACAAGAGTCTGACACAAAAAAACCCAACCGCAAAACAAACCCCTCACCACACACGGTTGTTAATAATCTCTAGTCTAAAACAGACAGCACAACTACCTCTATGCTGTTTCCAAATGACTAGCTGTCTGAAGGCTAGAACCACACTTGTAGACTTGGATGAAAATGCTGCTATCAATATAAACCAATTGTCTTTAATAACCATATGTTTTAAATTTTTTTCTTTCTTCAGAAGCCTTTTCACATTCTCAGAATAGCCAGGAGAGTGCTGAACAAATGAAGTAAATGTTCAACAATATATTTGCCTTTATTACTCATTCTGTAAGAATCTGAAAATCAGAAGTGACACGTTATAATAAAAATACAGGGGAACTTCTACTATAAGCATCATTTTGTCTTCTATTTAGATTTAGCATCACAATTTTTTTCCCTCTAGATAGCTACATATTAAAGGATGATCTATCAATTTTCATATATTTATTTTTATATATGCATTTTACATATTTGTTTATATATATACACATTATATGTGTTTTTATATATATACACAATATATATTGTTTACTATATTTCATGGTTTTTTTATATATATATTTGTTAACTTACATTTTCACTGGTATGAGTGCTTTATGCTGCTTTAACATCTTAAACCTCTAAGTTCTCTGGCCAGTTAATCCGGATTTATAGCTTTTCTGCACGCAATGTTTGCAAAGCACACAGACAATTTACCAGATTTACTGCTAAATCTGACTGTCCTCTAGAATCAAACTGATTAACTAGAAGTGAATTGCTTAATATTGTCTTAAAACTGCAATGCAATAATAGACATCTGCAAAAGAATCTCAGTCAACAAAATCTGTTAACTGGAAGAGAAAAGCTAATTTCAGCCAGTTCTGCATTATAAATAATTTTACTGGTGCTCTTCATGACTAATAAAATTTTACGTTACGGGAACTCTTGTGATTATAGTCCTCAGTTCTTCACTGAAATACCTTGTTTATTTCAAAGGTTCAAACAGTAGGTAAGATAGTTGTAAAACTACACAAACAGTCCAACAAAGAGAAGTACTAACTTTTTTAGAGCGCATTCCAACTCATTCTTTTCATTATCTGCTTCTTGGAGCTGGGAAAAAATTCTGACCAGGAACTCTTCAAAATTGGAAAGTAAATGAGGTTCGTCCTTTCTCAGCTGCAACCAAAGTTGCTTCACATCACTCTCACTGAAAGAAGATATCACAAGGGATTCATTAAGAGAGAACATTTCTCAGGCTGCAATAAATGTTCACAGCATCCTATTGGATGGAGGCTTCAGGGCATCACTAGTCAGAACACAAGGTTTATTAAAAACAAGGGCTACTTAAGCAGTGCCAGATTTGAAAAGGATGAGGTGGGTGGGAAATGATGGAAATTGCATTTATTCAAAAAGTGCATCATAAAGTTTGGCCATGCATGACCACAGAGAATCACAGGAACTGCTTGTTTAGTGGGTGCCTTGCCAGACACTTCATCTAAACAGGAATGGATAAGAAAGGAGACAGATGAGATACACTGTACCATTCAGTCACTTCTATTAGAAGTAAAGAAGTTCCCACAAATCTAGTGGGGAGGGGGCAGTGGGAAAGCTAATCAAAAACATGTCCTCATGAGAAATGAATGAGACTCAGTCTCCTAAGTTACTTAGACACATTGCATTTGTACACTGTCTTCTTTCATTTTCAACCCATTTTAGTTCCACGGTGGGACTGCTACAAAAATCAGAACATGACATCTTGAAAATTTTGATTTAAAGATTTACCAAGGGAATGCTTTTGTTTCCAAATCTGTTCAGCACATACTGGAAAAAAGATGTTCTACTGTGAATGATAACGGGTTTTTTAATACTTCGCCAAAATTCTCCTGAACAACTTTTTTTGTTTCTTTCTTCCTGACTTATTCTCTTCCATGCGCATGGTAAGCCTGAACCTAGCCAGCAAAGAGTGCTCTATTTAAAGGACAAAATGAGGGTAAGGATAGAAAAAATGGGTGATAAAAGTCTCTTCATAATGAAAGCCTTTCAGGATGACTGACAGTCAACTCTTTCCTGTAACAGACAGCCAGGTGAAGAGAAGCACTGATAAGCACTTTTATTTCATGGTAAGGATCACTGATGCATTTCTTAAACGTTCCTACTGTCTGTCCAGATTCTCTCCCTTTTTTGCCCTGTGCTTTTTTTGATCTAGAACATTCATTGTGACTGACCAATGAATGTAAGGCCCACACACAAGAAGCCCTTAGGACAGTTCTTGCATTCTGTGTTTCAGAGTGAGACATCCTGGTCCTGGAAGAGGGAGTGTTATCAGAGCAATCACAACATGCAATTATGCATGGAGGGGAGAAAAAGCAGAAAATGGGAGAAAACATTCTTTCTTATGGTTAACTGGTGCACTTTAAACACAGCCCTTGCCAAAAAAGCAGTCATCATGCATTGTTTGACTGAAAATCAGTGGCATCTGTGGATTACATGCTAGTAATTTTCTATGTTCAAAACCTATGGTATGTCAGTGGGTTAATGGTATAACTTTCATACGACACAAACACACATTTCATACGCCTGGAGTGCAACAGCTTTGCTCTTGGAAATTTTGGTTGAACAGCATTTTATCATCTCTGACAACCAAGAAAATTTATTTTTAAAGAATCACTGTGCTACTGAGCAGCCTCGGTTCTCATCATTCATCTCGGATTCCATTAAAATCAAACCCAGAGCTGAATCATAAAAGATCATACAATCTATTACTATTGCTGTGAAGACTCACTCATCCAAAACCTTTTTAGCTCCAAGCCGATCCATCAGATTTGAGAACTGGAACTCTTCATCCTCATCATCACTCACGGTGTCTTCACATTTAAGTGGGCAGGCTGTTTCACCTTCCGATTGCTGCATCATCTCATTATTCAAAGCAATCTGCCCCAAAAGAAACTGGCCTAAGAATTAGAAATTACACACGTTAGCATTTTCAGAACTTACTGTAAGAAGCAACGTCATTGAAGAGCAACATAAAATCATTGGAAGGTTGGAAAAGACCGCTAAGATCATTGAGTCCAACCGTCGACCCAACACCACCATGCCCACTAAACCATGTCCTTAAGCGCCTCATCTACACGTCTTTTAAATACCTCCAGGGATGGGGACTCAACCACTTCCCT